AATAATACTCGAAAATAAAATTTTTGTAGGGATAGATTAAAAAAAAATAATAATAATGACCTATACATTAAAGTTTTAGGAATATTTGTTATTGGAACATCGATATTTCGTATATTCAAAATGTATGTCTGTATAACTTATATCTGTCATAATAATTACCTTATCGTCTACATCGATAAACTTATCAGTGCACACGACTGCTGTTGTTATGCTAAGCAACGGAAAAAATCGTTGCTAATTATCGAGTGCAATTTCACTCGTTACAATGCTTATATCTCGCATTCATTGATGATAAATATAACTCATATAAATATAGGGCTGGAGTTTGAGTAAGTCAGTACCAGTCAAAACACAACCAATCCTTCTACTACTTAAAAAAATATCAATCCAAAATGGTTTGCAAGGGATGCAATAATAGTAAGTATTTTTAATTCAAAGTAATTTCTATTATAGCTTGACTCATTAATAAAATATTTCCCTTTATAATAGATTGCCAATGTACAGCCCAGAAATGTGGTGACAATTGCGTCTGCAACCAGGAATGCAACTGCGTCTGCAAGAATGGACCCAAGGAACAATGTTGCTCAAATAAAAATTAATTTGAATAATTAATGAAATTATGCGGAGAATAATTGAAAAATTAAAAATAAATAAATTTTTATATTTTCTTCAAATATAAATTTGATTGGATTTTTTAAAGAATATGTTTTCTCAAAGATTATCACAGGCGTGGATTTTTTAAAGAATATTTTTTCTCAATGATTATCACAGGCGTGGATTTTTTAAAGAATATTTTTTCAAGGACTATCACAAGGCGTGGATTTTTTAAAGAATATTTTTTCAAAAGAACTATCACAAGGCATGGATTTTTTAAAGAATATTTTTTCAAAAGAACTATCACAAGGCATGGATTTTTTAAGAATATTTTTTTAAGACTATCACAAGGCATGGATTTTTTAAGAATATTTTTTCAAAAGAACTATCACAAGGCATGGATTTTTTTAAGAATATTTTTTCAAAAGAACTATCACAAGGCATGGATTTTTTAAGAATATTTTTTCAAAAGAACTATCACAAGGCAAGAATATTTTTTCAAAATAACTATCACAAGGCATTGATTTTTTTTTAAAGAATATTTTTTAAGGACTATCACAAGGCATTGATTTTTTTAAGAAAAATATTTTTTTCAAAGAGACCAGTTGGTGCCCTTACCAACTAGTCTTTCCTATCCCTTTTTTGTTTTGTTTTGAAAATTTAAATGACCAAACTTTTGTGATTTTAATGTGAAAAGTGAATTAAAACAATCAAAATGGTTTTAACAACTGTGAAATGTACTTAAGGGATCTCGAATTGCGTTCAGGACATTGGAAAACAATTACATGGTGTTGTTAACAGCCAACGTGGCGGTGTGCCGTGGTTTCCCATAAGTATTATTATATTATAAAAGGAAGGCAGGAAAACCAACCACATCGTGTGAAATGATGGCCTTAATGCTTAACTGTGCATAAAATCAATGCTAAAATATGCAAATTTTAATGGCAGAATGGGGGATAACAAGGGAAAAGGGAAATGAAATAAGAAAAACAGCGACAATATCAATTTTCCAAAAAAAAAGAAAAACAAAACTCCCAAAAAACTTGCCTTCGAGTTGGGTGGTAACAAAGTTTTGCCATTTTTTTTCCTTCTTTGGCTCAAACATTTCGCTGTCAAAAATTACTCTCCATAGTGTCGTTAACAGTTTCAGTGTCGACAAGGAAAATGGAACAGAAACCAAGATGCTTAGAGTTTTTTGTGGGGATGGAGGAGGTTCCATATTCAGCCCCAGCATTGTTGAATAGCATCATAACAATAACACGCAACAAATAACGAGAACAAAAAAGGAACATTCAAATCAACACCTTTACGCTTTGATAAGATACTCTCCCAAACCTCCAAATTCCAAAACTGATGTTCGAAGGAAAAAGGGAGGGAGTTTTAAATTACCAAAAATTTTAAAATTGTGTCTACATTTTCCATGGGAGTTTTTCATTTGCTTGAGTTCGCTTTTTTTCCCATTGTGGGCATTGGGGATAATTTTTGTTCTCCATTCAAGCCACTTTTGGGAATTACCTCAGTTAAAGAAAATAGCTGTGGAGTCATTATTCTCACTTTTCGAGTTCATTAAGAAGTTATAGAAGGCGTGCATTTTTTTAAATATTTGTTCAATGATTATCACAGGGATTTTTAAAGAACATTTTTTCAATGATTATCACAGGCATGATTTTTTTAGAATATTTTCTCAATGATTATCACAGGCGTGGATTTTTTAAAGAATATTTTTTTCAAGGGCTATATAAGACGTGGATTTTTTAAAGAATATTTTTTTCAAGGGCTATATAAGGCGTGGATTTTTTAAAGAATATTTTTTTCAAAGGCTATATAAGGCGTGGATTTTTTAAAGAATATTTTTTCAAGGACCCTATACAAGGCGTGGATTTTTTAAAGAATATTTTTTCAAGGACCCTATACAAGGCGTGGATTTTTTAAAGAATATTTTTTCAAGGACCCTATACAAGGCGTGGATTTTTTAAAGAATATTTTTTCAAGGACCCTATACAAGGCGTGGATTTTTTAAAGAATATTTTTTCAAGGACCCTATACAAGGCGTGGATTTTTTAAAGAATATTTTTTCAAGGACCCTATACAAGGCGTGGATTTTTTAAAGAATATTTTTTTCAAGGGCTATACAAGGCACGGATTTTTTAAAGAATATTTTTTCAAGGACCCTATACAAGGCGTGGATTTTTTAAAGAATATTGTTTTCAATGATTTTCAGGGCGTAGATTTTAAAAAGAATATTTTTTCAAGGGTTATACAAGGCGCGGATTTTTTAAAGAATTTTTTTTTCAAGGGTTATCCAAGGCGCGGATTTTTTAAAGAATATTTTTCAAAGCCAAGGCATATCCAAGGCGCGGATTTTTTAAAGAATATTTTTTTCAAGGGTTATACAAGGCACGGATTTTTTTAAGAATATTTTTTCAAGGACTTTATACAAGGCGTGGATTTTTTAAAGAATATTTTTTCAAGGACCCTATACAAGGCGTGGATTTTTTAAAAAATATTTTTTCAAGGACCCTATACAAGGCGCGGATTTTTTAAAGAATATTTTTTCAAGGACCCTATACAAGGCGTGGATTTTTTAAAGAATATTTTTTCAAGGACCCTATACAAAGCGTGGATTTTTTAAAGAATATTTTTTCAAGGACCCTATACAAGGCGTGGATTTTTTAAAGAATATTTTTTCAAGGACCCTATACAAGGCGTGGATTTTTTAAAGAATATTTTTTCAAGGACCCTATACAAGGCGTGGATTTTTTAAAGAATATTTTTTCAAGGACCCTATACAAGGCGTGGATTTTTTAAAGAATATTTTTTCAAGGACCCTATACAAGGCGTGGATTTTTTAAAGAATATTTTTTCAAGGACCCTATACAAGGCGTGGATTTTTTAAAGAATATTTTTTCAAGGACCCTATACAAGGCGTGGATTTTTTAAAGAATATTTTTTCAAGGACCCTATACAAGGCGTGGATTTTTTAAAGAATATTTTTTCAAGGACCCTATACAAGGCGTGGATTTTTTAAAGAATATTTTTTTCAAGGGTTATACAAGGCACGGATTTTTTAAAGAATATTTTTCCAATGGTTATTCAAGGCGTGGATTTTTTAAAGAATATTGTTTTCAATGATTTTCAGGGCGTAGATTTTAAAAAGAATATTTTTTCAAGGGTTATACAAGGCGCGGATTTTTTAAAGAATATTTTTTTCAAGGGTTATACAAGGCGCGGATTTTTTAAAGAATATTTTTTTCAAGGGTTATACAAGGCACGGATTTTTTTAAGAATATTTTTTCAAGGGTTATACAAGGCGTGGATTTTTTAAAGAATATTTTTTCAAGGGTTATACAAGGCGTGGATTTTTTAAAGAATATTTTTTCAAGGGTTATACAAGGCGTGGATTTTTTAACGAATATTTTTTCAAGGGTTATACAAAGGCGTGGATTTTTTAAAGAATATTTTTTCAAGGGTTATACAAGGCGTGGATTTTTTAAAGAATATTTTTTCAAGGGTTATACAAGGCGTGGATTTTTTAAAGAATATTTTTTCAAGGGTTATACAAGGCGTGGATTTTTTAAAGAATATTTTTTCAAGGTTTATACAAGTCGTGGATTTTTTAAAGAATATTTTTTCAAGGGTTATACAAGGCGTGGATTTTTTAAAGAATATTTTTTTAAGGATTTTTTAAAGAATATTTTTTAAGGATTTTTAAAGAATATTTTTTTAAGGATTATACAAGGCGTGGATTTTTTAAAGAATATTTTTTAAGGATTTTTTAAAGAATATTTTTTTAAGGATTATACAAGGCGTGGATTTTTTAAAGAATATTTTTTTCAATGGTTATTCAAGGCGTGGATTTTTTAAAGAATATTTTCTCAATTGTTATTCAAGGCGTAAATTTTTTAAAGAATATTTTTTCAAGGCTTATACAAGGCGTAAATTTTTTAAAGAATATTTTTTCAAGGGTGGATTGTTAGAAGAATATTTTTTCAAGGGTGGATTTTTTGAAGAATATTTTTTAATGGTTATTCAAGGCGTGGATTTTTAAAATAATATTTTTTCAATGGTTATACAAGACGTGAATTTTTTAAAGAATATTTTGTTGATATATTTTTAATATACATTTTGTTTTTGTTGATATATTTAACTGCAACGGTTGTCAGTCAGTACTGCTACAAGGTCAATTGTTGTTGTCTATTTACTTGTTAAAATAATATCTATATAAAAATAACAGCATTTGCATAATAAACAGATTATATTTTCGGTTATCTGGCCGATAAGATATGTGTCTCTATAAGAAAGGTAAATATTGACCGAAATGCTGCTGTGTGCATCCAACGAAATTTTGGCATCTTGATGATGCAAAAATTTTTATAAAAGCAGAAAAAATATCGTATAGGCATAGTATTTGAAAATATATTTCAAATATCAAAACAACAAAAGTTAAGCAAAATGCCTTGCAAAGGATGTGGTAATGGTGAGTACAAAAAGGATAACTTTATTACAAATACATTAGCAAATTCTATTACATCAGAATTCGTCAATTTAAATTTAAATTTATTTACCAACTTCTTATTTCAGACTGCAAATGCACTCCCGAGAAATGCGGCGACAAGTGTGACTGCCCCAAGCCATGCAAGTGCATGTGCAAAGATTCGGAACATGCCAAACATGGTCACGGATCAACTTGTCATTAGAGGTGGAATTATGCACAAGGACTTTCAATAATCATACGATAATGGGACATCATAAATCGGGAGGAGTTAAGACAGGCGAAACCCTTATATATAACGGCAATTATGTACTATATATAAATATAATAAATATTAACCATGCATACGTATAACAATTTTGGAGATATTTTTGGATGGGAGATATCGATATTATTCAGTAGGTTCCAATGTTGACAGAGCTCTGTCAATCATTTTACAAAACGACTTTTATGTTCTACTGTCGAACATATGAACATGCTACAAAATTTGGAAAGATACATTGATTCCGAATTTATTAATCCGATTCAAAGGCACTTGTGTCCAAAACAAAACCTTTGTTAGGCATAGAATAAATATGGTGAATTCATCCACGTATTATTTTAGTCTAAGATGCAATACCTCTTATAGACACCGGTTATTATAACCTCTCAAAAATATTTGTAGAAAATATGGGACTTGCGGAAGCCTCTCGGAAAAATGAATTACTTTCTTTGGCTGAAGAAAACGAAATACTTTGAGAAAACGAAATACCAAATTACAGATACTCAGACTGGGAAAATTACCGAAATACATCGATATTGAAACATGACCGTCTGTATGTTGTAATCACACTATCTTCTAAACAAATGGAGATAGATCGCCACAAATTTGCATATAGTCGTCTTTTGTCTACAGGCAGTCAAGTCCGAAGATGCTGTATCGATTTACGTTTAGGCATAGTTCCCATATAAGGGTACACCCCATTTTTCGGTTGTGTGCGATATTCAAGTGAATTCGCTGAAATTTGGTACAATGGGTTTTTATACCCTTCACCACACTGTGGTACAGGGTATTATGTCTTTGTGCATATGTTTGTAACAGGCAAACATAATCGAGATAGACCCATGGTTCCTTTCGAGAATATGCATAGCATCACTTTCTGAGTCGATTTATGCATGTCCGTCCGTCCGTCCGTCTGTCCGTCTGTAGATGTTAAATTGTAAACAAAGTACAGGTCGCATTTATGATCCGAATTGGATGAAATTTGGCACAGCTCATTTGTTTGGCCCAAGGACGAACCCTATTGAAATTGGGAAAAATCGGTTCAGATTTAGATATAGCTCCCATATATATTTTCGCCCGATTTAATGTAAACGGTCCCTATATATCTTTCGATTTGCACGAAAATTAGCACAGCGTAATGAATTAGGTCTAGAATGATGTGTGTAAAATTTCATAAAAATCGGTTCAGATTTAGATATAGCTCCCATATATATCTTCGTCCGATTTAAGGTAAATTGTGTAATAAAATCCGTATATATCTTTCGATTTGCTCGAAATTTGGCACTGCGTAATGAATAAGGTCTAGAATGATGTATACCAAGTTTCGTGAAAATCGGTTCAGATTTAGATATAGCTCCCATATATATCTTCGTCCGATTTAAGGTAAATTGTGTACCAAAGCCCCTATATATCTTTCGATTTGCACGAAATTTGGCACAGCGTAATGAATAAGGTCTAGAATGATGTATGCCAAGTTTCGTGAAAATCGGTTCAGATTTATATATAGCTCCCATATATATCTTCGTCCGATTTAAGGTAAATTGTGTACCAAAGCCCCTATATATCTTTCGATTTGCACGAAATTTGGCACAGCGTAATGAATAAGGTCTAGAATGATGTATGCCAAGTTTCGTGAAAATCGGTTCAGATTTATATATAGCTCCCATATATATCTTCGTCCGATTTAAGGTAAATAGCCCACTAAAGTCCCTGGAAATCTTTAGGTATAGCGTACTGAATTAAGTCTAGAATGATGTGGCAAAGTTTCGTGAAAATCGGTTCAGATTTAGATATAGCTCCCATATATATTTTCGTCCGATTGTATGTAATTGGTGCACCAAAGTCCCTATATATCTTTCGATTTGCATGAATTTTGATATAGGGCACGTTGGTCAGCTAACTAATTCGCTTTGTTACAAGAGACATTTGGTTTTGAAAGGTTTTTTGTATAGAAGCAATAGCTTCTGGGGAGAATATCCCAACAAAAAACTAAGGGAACTGATGAGGATCAGTGGCGTGATCCGAAACTATAGTCTTCCCTGCATTTCCGCTCGGCAATCAATACCATACATTCCCCACTAATAAATAGTTGTTTTTTATAAAAACAAAATACAAATGGTATCCCAAATAAACCGCCAACACTACTGAAGTACGGAATTAAGTCTAAAATGATGTTGCTAAGCTGCGTGAAAAGATCCATAGTAAGGTCGAATGACACAACGTACTGAGGTAATATAAATTAGTCTCTGGCAATTTTCCCTGAAATCGGTTCAGATATAGATATATAACAAAAACGCGTCGCCTGTTGGGATACATATGTAGAATATACCCAAAGTGGTGAAGAGTATCATATAGTCGGCCCAGCCCGACTTTACTACTTTCCTTACTGGTTATATTTGCATATGTTTGTAACAAGCAAATGGAAACAAGAAAGACCCATGGTTCTTTCTGAGAATATGCATAGAATCATGTCTGTCCATGTTAAATTGTGAACTAAGTGCAGGTCGTATTTATTATCCGAATGAGATGAAATTTGGCACAGATCATTTACTTGACACAGGGACAAACCCTATTGAAATTTGGGGAAAATCGGTTCAAATTTAGATATAGCTCCCATATATATTTTCGTCCGATTATTTGCAAATGGCGTACCAATGTGTCAAATTTAAGCGAATTGGCACGAAAAAAATCGGTTCAAATTTAGATAAAGCTCCCATATATATTTTCGTCCGATTATTTGCAAATGGCGTACCAATGTGTCAAATTTAAGAGAATTGGCACGAAATTTAGTACAGCGCACTGAAGTTAGGATAGACTAACGTGTGCCAAGTTTTATTAAAATCGGTTCAGATTTAGATATAGCCCCCATATATATGTTCTTCCGATTTTTCGCAAATGGTCCACAAAAAAGTCAAATTTAGGCCTAATACCACGAAATTTTGCACAACGTACTGAAGTTAGGATAGACTAACGTGTGCTAAATTTTATTGAATATATGTTCGTCCGATTTTTCACAAATGGTGTGTCCGATTGGCACAACATTACGCGCAACGTATCGAAATGGGCCTGAGTTAACCGTTATATGGGGGCCCGAAAAAGTGGACCGATATTAATAATTTTTAGTGGAGACATTTGGTACGTGGACCAATAAAGCTCATCTTCGGACCTGCAGAGACAAATTTATGCAAAATTTTGGCGATCTATCTCAATTCGTTTAGATGCTGGAGTGATTACAACAGAAAGTCGGACCTGCATAAATCGTCATAGAATTTTACGCTGATCAAGAATATATACTTTATACAAATATACCCGGTTATTGATCATTGGGTTAAGTCATTTCACATAACTTAGTCGAATTTTATGACAATGGTGCTTCTAAAATTCCAGGTCTGTAAGGATGTATTTTTTGAATATAGCCAAAGTGGTGAAGGGTATCATATAGACGGCCCCGTCTGACTTTACTATTTTCCTTACTGGTTTATATTAAAATAGTTATCTGATTTTGGGTTTGGTTCTTAGACCCTGTTGTAATCATATTACCTGCGGAGAATATCGAGATAAAAAAACTACAACGTAAGGTTCGAAAATTAAATATATTGTCCCGCATAGCCCCCATATAATGATACCTACCGATTTTTGGTATTTCGTGACGATTGGTCCATAACTGTGGTTTATATTAAAATACTTATCTGATTTGATCCTCGTTTTGGGTTTGGTTCTAAGACCCTGTTGTAATCATATTACCTGCGGAGGATATCGAGATAAAAAACTATAACGTAAGGTTCGAAAATTAAATAAATTGTCCCACATAGTCCCCATATAATGATACCTACCGATTTTCGGTATTTCGTGACGACTGGTCCATAACTGTGGCCTGTATCGTGTTTACAAATTATAAAAGACAAATGGAGGAACACACATGTCACCTAGTCGAGATATGAAGATCGGTATTTCGCAGCTTTACAAACTTTTGGGGTTGCACACAGCTATAATACGCTGACATCATAGGTGTGTAGGTAAAACAATCGTCCATGTTTTATAGATACATTTTTATACCCTACACAACTATGTTGTCAGGGTATTATAGCTTTGTGCAGCCCCAAGTGTTTGTAACGCCGCGAAATATTGGTCCTACACCCACCTATAAGTATACCGATCGTCATATCTTGACTAGCTGAGTCGATCTAGACATGTGTAAACACGATACAGGCCACAGTTATGGACCAATCTTCACGAAATTTTGCATGTAGGATGGGTTCTGGCCAATGAAGACCCCTATTGTTTTTGGTAAAGATCGGTTAATATTTAGGAGATGAAATGGACCAAATACTTTGATAGTATATCCAAGAGGAATGGTTGATCTTTAAATTGATACCCATTGTATTGTCGTATGTACTCGGATGTGGGAGTTACACGTACAAATTTACAGGTGCTTACGTATTCAGATATTATTTAATAAACCATTACCACTCTAGAGGGCGGATATATAGCGCCGATCGCTTTGAAATTTTCTATTTGGATCCAGGTATGGTCAAGGACAACGCCTATAATTTCCGGTGGTGATCAGATAATAATTTTGGGATGTTTTTTTTTAGTCGATCTATAGGCCACAATTATAAGCCGAACATCACCCACGGTGAAGGAAATCTGAACAAACAATTATAAGGGCGTACAGAATATAAGTAATGTTCGGAAAATATGTCAGTGTAAGAAATTGGCGCTGTTAACCTCTAATCGGGCAAGAGGGTGCAAATATCACGAAATATTGCCCAGGCTCAGAATAAACATTGGCAGAAAGTTAAAGTGCCGTGGTAGTTGTGTAGAGCATCGTATGGTCGGCCCGTCCGACTATACTGCTCCGCTCACTGGCTTTACAAATATCATTGAAAAATCATTTAAAAATTTTGAAATTGTCACCAGTT